TTGAAAAATGCCAGACTATATAATTACAACGCAAAACATATCAAACAGCAAATGAGCACAACTTGCCAGAATAACGAAAACGTGCGGGCGAAGCACACTTGGGCAAAAGTGCCAGCGTGTAAAACATTCCGGGGAAATATACAATGCAGCAAAAAAAGAGCAAAAAAGAGCGACTTGCTGGAAAACACTTTTGGATTTGCTACATTCAACATTGGATTGCTAAAACCTATACCAGAAATTGCTAGGTTGTAAATGTGGTTGCTACTTTGTAACTGAGAAAGCGGCACATACAAAAGAGCAAAAAAGTGAGACTGTCAGAAATTATAGCATTTGGCAGATCCGCAATATTAGCAAAAAGTTGCGATTGCCGGATTGTATTACACCGCCCTAAGTAATCCCGGCACATTCTGGCACGCTATTTCACTACTTGAGCAAACACTTCAACGTGAAAGGTTTGCCGAAATACTGTATTCCTTAACTTTAGACGACTTGAACTCTTAAAAAAAGAAATAAGATAAATAAATTAAGAAATAGTTCAAGGCACGCTCCACCGCATCGTATTAGTTTTTTGGGAGTGTTGGGTGAGACTGAATGTTAGCCAACTAGGCAGCAGAGGGCGATGATACTACCGAACCTCATAACACGCCGTGCATTGCCTTAACACCACAGTCACATTGCCTAGCACGCAGGCACATAGGCAATGTCCCCAAACAACTAGTAAAAACAATAAAAGAAAAAATTCCAGGGTGGAACCGACTCGAGATGCTCCTGCACAGCCAGATTGCTGTCACTTGATCCTCGACCGGTTGCACCACCTTCTCGTTCGAGTCGATCACAATGGCGTGCGCCACGCACGCACGAGCAATACTTGTTACGCTTGCTTGAATTTGCCCCATGCAAGTCTGGACCTGCACTGAAACTATCCTTAAAGAGAAGTATGGCGCTGTTTCGGGCACTTCGGACGCAGCCGCTATCGTAGCAGGTATAGCTGGGATGCTCTACACCCTTGAACCATCTGTGGAGAGTAAGTCAACCCCTGCTTACATCAAAAGAATCATAATAGACACGCCCACCCAAGGTGTCAAGGACAGTAAGGGGGAAAAGAATCTCTCATTCGGCCTCGACGGCTGTCAGTAAGATACTTGGAAGAAGGTATAATTTTTCACTCTGATGATGGAGTCATTGATAACTTGTTCGGTGTACTCTCGTCTGTCTCGATGGTCTCTCCCTTGCTGGATGGATTATCAATTCATTCGATTCAATTATTGTAAATGTGAAGGTCTGATGTCACATGCGATCGTAACGTTGTGGATTTGATTATGATAATCCTTTACGCTCAACTGTTGAGTTTGTTATTATAACCAGTGCAGTATTATTTCAATCGAGAAGCCGCTAACAATTCCTCATTCCATCATCGTATTCTTGGATTGTATAAACAATCACTCACAACAGTATACAACATACAAGATGTCCAAGCAATTAACGATGAAGCGTTCTTGTTGCTCCTACAAGCCTCCTAGTTATTGACCATGTTATGCGCCACTCCACATTTTATACTAGCAACTAAACATCACGTAGTGTTCATAGCATAATCGACGAGAACGTCGCTGAGACCAGACGGTCGACGCAGCTGACGGACTGCGATGATATGATCAATAATGATAATTATATTTTGCATGTTCAACATCCACTAATCAGTAAACGGATGTTAAATGTCGCCCATAATATACGGCATTATATTTCCCATCCACAGATGAAAAGGAATACATGGCAATGTAGGCGCCATCGATCGTCTTCTCTTCGCTAACGGTAACCGGTCACCCGAGACGTACTCCCCTAGACGCAGCAGCCATTGATGTTGACCATTAGCCGCCACCGCGTCAGTAGCGCCAGTACACAGCCATGCATCATTCACACGTTTTTCTGATCGCAGTTCTCCACCAACCAGCAAAAGACGGTCAGAATGTAATGCCACACATCGAACGAGACATCTAGCTTGCCAACGTCTTGGTATGGTCTCGGGGAGCCCATCTTGGGAAACACCCAGTGGTGGGAGACCTGCTCAAAATACTCCAACGA